TTAAACCCTAAAAAAAATCTCAATCCATTTTTATAAAAGACAGCTTAAAGTACCATTCCTGAATAGGATTGAAAACATGAACCATTTTTCTTTCCATTAATTGATAAGCCAATATGTTAGATAGTCAGTTTATCAGATTATATATATTTCAAAGACAAGAAAATTACCAATAAAAATCTGATGGAAATGAAGAACTAAGATGAGCTTTGTTTCCTCTGTATTGTTCTAGATATTTTTAAGCGCCTATATTTCAATAACAAGGTAACATTTTCCAGGCAAGTTGGGGGCCAAAACTCAAAATAGAGCTGAACAACAAAAACGGTGGTACAGCCTTCTACTGCCTGTACTATACGAAGAACCATTTCGTATAGTCAACGGAATAAGTTTTCCTCATGTGGATAAGCGAGGCTGATCTTTTGCAGTTCTCTTAACAGATGTATCAGCCTTGATGTCCCCTTTCAAGTTTATTCTTTTCAAAATCAAGACACTGAGGTCTCTTGTGGACATATGGTATATGGACATTACAGATGCTATTTTTCTTTGCAAATGTGCTAGGATGTTCTGACCTCAGGTCATACTGGCAAGAAGTTACCATCTGCCTATTCCTGCTAGATGATCAAAAAGGACCATTTCTGGCTCTGCTGCCACATCAAAACACTGAAGGTAGTTAGAATATTGTGTTGCTTGCAGTTAAGTGCACTGCGTCTCATCTGACCTTGAAACTCTGTCCTAAGTAGTAAAGCAGCAACCAAACTGGGGGTGGAGGAGTGGGTATATTTCAGTACTGAAAGCATGCCCTGGAAAATTTCTGCAGCAGGATTTTTATCAGAGTGCCAAGTTAGCCCTTATATTCTCCATCTTTCCATTAATTACCTCCAATTTCCAAATAACCTCAGTGCACAAACACTGCACAGGAAATGAGAAGAAATAACATTAATGTAACTTGAAACAATATGTAACTTGAAACTCAGCAGTACGTACACAGCATCTCTGTCTGTATCTTTGCTAACTATTGCACAGAATTTCTTGGTGACTCAGAAACTCAGGATGAGAAAGTTTCAAAACAAAGCCTATCTAAAATAAAACTAAATAAATATTTTTCCACTTAGCAGTTAGATTGTGTCCTCAGACGCTGCAAATTTTTCAATTTTTAATTGGATAAAGATTATAGATGCAGCTTGGTTTTGTGCTCAAACTTTCTTAGGAGGAGAGAACTGTTGAACAAGCTTTGTCAAAATCATATTCGCTCGCCTAAGATAGCGGCCAGCAGCATGTCTGCTCCAAGAACATCAGAACTGAAAACGCATTATGCAAAAACAAGGATTACTCCAGAAGTTTCAGCAAAACAACACTTTACTGTGTCTGACCTTTGAAAACGGCTACCATAAGCTTGAAAACTACTCAGTCATTTATTTAAAAAAAAAAAAAAAAGGAAAGAAGGAAAAAAATAATCTGAAATAGATGCTAAACCCACCTCTGAGTCCTACTGAGTTTTTCATTTAGTTTCTTTCCTGACTTTCTCAGTCCCCTTTTACTTTGTGGAAGACCAGCAAGCGAAGAGGTTGCTAAACCCCTAACATATTCACTCTTGCACTTAATCTCATCACAGCACAAGATCAAGGCCTAGCTGGCTTGAGGAGAAACCACTAACCAAAAACGCTGTAAATGCACTAAGCAAATTAACAAGAAACTGTTTGATTCCCATCAGGTGTCACAATTGCAACTTCCACAAACTCTCCAAAGGAAGGTATTTTATTTTCAGGTAGCAGAGACCCTTTAAAGACAATTAGAAAACCTGTCAATGGCAACAGCATCACCAGCACCTGTGGTTGGTCTGTACAAAAAACAAAACAAAACAAAAAAAAAAACCTCACTTTCCCAGATTTTAAATAAGAACATATCTAAGGCAGAAATGAGAAACCTGTATGATGTTAAAAACAAGTTATTTCCTTGTATTTACTACTCAGCTGTATAACAACCTCTCCTTAAGTTTCAAGCAATCTGACACAAGTTAAGCATTTTCTTACTACACGATTAGGCAGGATTTGCATCAAGAAGCAAGAAAGAAAACAGAAGACTTCCATACGGTACAGCCTCTTTATATCTGTAGGAAGCAATTTAATAAACAATATTGCATCTAACTGGGCAGGCCAGACATAAGCCAAGAGAAACTCCTTACCGTGTTCCACAAAGACGTTACAGTGCGGGCCCCCATGCCTAGATGATTCCTTCTTCCCTGCTCCTTTGATGAAGTGCAGGGCAGGCAGACTTGGCCTCCTTTGGTCCCCAAGGACTTTTCCAGGCTGCTGCCCCATAAAGCAACTATGGGCAGCCTTCCCCAGGACGAGAAGTTTTTGAAGAAGTCTGTGATCCCTGATCTTCCAGGTTGGGACGGAGCTCGGAAGGGAAACGTATTTTAGGTGGGTATGCTGGTTGCGCTCACCGTGTAATAAAGTCACTTGAGGCGAAGAATTAAGACAAGCTCGCGGACTCTTGCAACGCGTCTGGAGGCAGCAACAAGGCTCTTTAGGTGGCTTTATGCAAAACAACAAGTTAAAAGTTCCAATTGCTTAGTAACTACAACAAGCGTCAAAGTCTTACGTTACCATATGCAATGCGTCTTCCGCCGGGCAAAGGAGAATTAGTTCATCTTACAAACAAGAAATCGCATCTAGGCTCACCCAGGGCAGGAAACGGTCATTCCCACTGCAACCAGGGTCAAGGTTTCTTTTTTTTTTTCCTCCTTTTCTTTTGCATAGCATTGAGCGAGCAAAGGCCCCCAAAAGCCACGTCTCTGGCTTCAAGTACCGTTGAAGTCCAGCAGGCTCCAGGACGTCCAAATCATGTCAGGCTTCGACACAAAAGCGCAGGCC